CCTGGGCCAGCAGACATTGCGAGTCACCTAGTGTAGACCTGGGCCAGCAGATACCACATGTCACCTAGTGTAGACCTGGGTCAGCAGACACCACGTGCCACCTAGTGTAGACCTCCACCTAGTGTAGACCTGGGCCAGCAGACACCGCGTGTCACCTAGTGTAGACCTTTGTCAGCAGACGCCACATATCACCTAGTGTAGACCTGGGTCAGCAGACGCCACGTGTCACCTAGTGTAGACCTGGGTCAGCAGATGCCACGCCCACCTAGTGGAGACCTGGGGTCACAAATGCCATGTGTCCATCTAGTGTAGACCGGGGTCAGCAGGTGGCCAGTGACATCAGCAGTAGACCAGGGTCGGCCCAGGGGGTGAACGTTTCAGGCTCTGAGCTCTGCCACCCGGGTGGCAGCAGCCACTGACAAGGTGACACCCAGGCTGGCCGTGCTCCAGGAAAACGTCACTCAGAGCAGTCGGGGCCAGGCGTGGCGCGGGCTGGAGTCTGTCCGACCCTGCTGTGGGCCTGACCTGATGTGTCCTGGGGTCACCTCGATGTCAGCAGAAGCTCGGGGGGAGGTGCCGGTGGCTGTGAGGCTACCACCCGGAGTCACCGCCGCCAACCTGCCGCCCCGTGCCGTGTGGCCAGGGAGGAGGAAGCTCTTCAGCCCGTGGCCCCATGCACGTGGCGGTCTCCGTTCCCACAGGCGTGGGCACGTGGCTCTGCGTGTACTGTGGCCACACCTCGTCTCATCGGCCACCCCGAGGGGCAGCCCAGGGCCCAGCGGCGTCCAGCAGCTCAGCTGAGTCGATGACGGGTCCGCCCAGGGCCAGGGCACCAGGGAGGCCGCCTGTGGCGGGTGGAGAGGTCCGCGCCGGCTGTGCAGGGCCAGAGGCAGGCGGTGCTCTCCGAGCTCCAGAGATTCCTGTCACACGGCACTTCCTGCCTCTGGGTCCCCTCAGGACAAACAGCTGCGTTTCCCTGTTCTTGTCACTTCATGGGCACCGAGCGGCTGGGCACCGAGCTGGGTCCTCCAGGGGCCACTCCGCGCAGCGCCCGGGGGTGCAGGCAGGAAGGAGCAGCCCTGGGGCCTGGGCAGGGCTCGAGGGCACAGATGAGCACACGGCAAGAGCGTCCCCTGAGGTGAGGGTCCGTCCCCCGGTGGCCAGTCGGGCTGCGTGTTCCTGTGCGCAGCCCGGGCGCTGGGGTCTCAGGCCTCCGTGGGGCCTTCAGGGGGACGCTGGCCGCAATCCTGGCCAGGACGCCTGGGAGTCGGCCCGGAGCCTGGGCACCGCCCGCGGCTGTCTGGTGGCGCCCTGTAGAGGGAGCGCAGATGGCACCTGGTTCCCTCCTGAGGAAGAGGAGTGGCCCTGGCCGCTGGGCTCCAGGGCTCCAGCCAGCCTCAGCCGTGGGTCCGGCAGCCTGGGTGGAAGGCACCTCGGGGCCCACAGAGGTGAGGGCTCACCCTCCAGGCTCTGAGCCCCCGGCCGGTCCACGGAGCCCCCTCACTCCCTCTGCTCCGTGGCTCCCCACGCCGCCCTGGGGTGCTGGCTCTGATTGGGGAACATCGCCCGTCATTGGCACGCCGCCCTAGGCTTCCGGGCGTGGCCTCCTTCACGACCCCGAGGCTCGCTGGGCACCACCCGGCCGCACACCGGGGTCCGGGGGATGGCAGTGCCCGGGCCCTGAGGGCTCCCGAGTTCCCGCGAGGCCTTGGCTCCGCCCTGGCCTCCTGGAGGCCTTGCCCTTGAGCGGCCGTCTGTCCTTGCTTGAAACTCCCAGAGTCCAGCGGCCTCTCGGAGGGCCAGCTGCTGCCCGGGGCCGTGGGTCCCTGCCCGGCCGGGCCGCGTCCTGCCCTGCGGCACAGCCTCTCTTTTCCCCACCCGCCCTCAGAAGCACCGGCATGTTCCGGAGGAATCCACAAACAAATGGAAGCAGAGGGTCAGGACGGCCCTGGCCGGGGTGAAACTGGTACCTTCCTGTTGGGGCCACCCGAGTCTTGGCGTCTGCCAGCAACCCTCCGTGTCTCTGTCCCCTGCCACGGCTGTGTCCACGTCTGCTGCCTCCCCCGCTCCCCGCTGCGTCACTGCATGGCTGTGGGGGTCTCCGTGTGTGGTCACTCGGGCGTCCACTGGCCAGGGCTGCCGAGTGCCCAGGATCCTTTCCCTCACTCGCATGTGGCCACTCCTTCCAGGAATGGCCCTTCCGCTGTGTCCATGCCAGTGTCCAGTGGCCTGTGTGTCTTCCTGTTCAAAACCCCCCTCTGACACAGTGTGTGCCAGTGACCGGCTCCTCCCTGGTTCCGTCCAGCCCATGCCGACCTGGCCCTGTGGCCTCTCGGTCTGTGCTGCTGGGCATTGCCACCAGGGCTGCCAGCAGCCTGCCTTGACTAGCTGCCCAGGGGACAGTTGACCATTGTGACCCAGAGTTCCTCAGATCCTGTAGCCCTTGAGGGGAGCCTCGCTGGGAAGGAGGGTACCCAAGTGCAGCTGACCCCAGGGTCTTCTGGGAGCGTTTGGAAGCCGTAGGTGGACGAGCACAGCTTCATGGGCACAGGCCCCACAGTGTCCCTGCACCCTGGACTGGCACTCGCCGGTCACCTCTACTGAGGTTCTGCTGAGTGTCCCCGTCATCCCGTCGTCCACGTGCACATGTCTGTCCAGCTGTGGTACCCGGCGGATGACCGGGTCATTTCCTGTTGCAGACAGACAAGGTGAAGCTCACCTGGAGAGACCGGTTCCCGGCCTACTTCACCAACCTGGTCTCCATCGTCTTCATGGTAAGTTCCGCAAGGCCACCCTGTCCTGGAGGAGGGAGCCACTCAGCAGGACGGCTGTGGTGTCCCAGGAGGTTCTGGGTGGAGGGGCTCAGCCTGGCCTTGAGGGTGACTGCTGGAACTGGGGTCAGCAGAGAAAGACGTGGTCCCTGACTTGGAGCCTGGCCGGCCGTCACCCCAGGGGGCCCAGGGCTCTGGAGAGAGGCGGCTCAGGCAGCCCCAGGCTCCTGGTGGAGGAGGAGCATGGTTAGCAGAGGGCCAGAGGAGACCCTGGGCTTTGCCATTGTTCCTCGGGGCCAGCAGGGTGCTGACGTCCCCGAGGCTCACCTGCCCTGCACCTGTTCCCTTCTGCTTACCACACGGCTGCTCCACCTCCAGCATCACCACCACTCTCCTAGCCGGAAGCAAGGGAAGGGCTGGGGGCAGGACAGAAGGTGGCAGCAGAGATGTCCCTCTTTGAAGGGCTTCCCCAGAGGGCCCTCGGTGACCTCTGCCTGTCCTCTCAGGCAGAGCCCTTTCTTGTGGCCAGTCTGCAGAGAGGCTGAGCCAGGAGCACATGGCGGTCTCAGGAAGGGTGGGAAGCCGGAGCCAGGGCCCAGGAATGTGGGGCAGGGAACGAGCCAGCTCCCCCGCCCGGCCCCCAGCGTCCTGGCTCGCCCTGCCACCAGTGAGTCACCCTCCGGCGTCTTCGAGGACACAGCTTGGTCCCTGGCTCTGTCCATCTGGGGACCCATGTGGTCCTGAAGATGGTGGCGAGGACCCTGGATCCTAGAGGCGTGGCCATCCTGGGGCTCCCTGCTGAGTCATGCAGGCCCACGGGCACCTCTGCACACGGGCACCGGGCTGCCGGCCAGGCCAGGGAGGGGCCCCGAGGGGTCCTCCAGGAAGCCTGGTTCCTGCTGCCCGGCATCGGAACCCAGGCTCCCAGCAGGGCTGTCCCCTGTCGGCACAGGCTGCAGGGCGGGCGTGGCCACCATTTAGTCACCAGCAGACGTCTGCAGAAGCAAGTCAAGGCCAAACTTTAAAACGAGCTTCCCTAGAAACTTCCGGAAGCCATCGCCTCCCCCAGGAACAGGTGTCTCCGACCCTGAACGACCCTGGGAGACTGGCCAGTCAGGCCTCCCCAGCACATCCTGGGAGCCACGCGTGACCACGCAGGCACAGGGTCTTCCACATCCGGCACGTGGTGCAGGGGCCTCATCCGGCAGCTGGACCACAAGTGGCCAGCAGGGCTGGCCCTGCGGTGCAGTCCTGGGGCTCGGTGTGGGGCGTCCACAGCGCCACGCAGGGCGGAGCTAGCGTGGGCCCGGGGGAGTGGGGCCTGAGGAAAAGGAACCCAGATGGCCGGTGGTGGACGGGACAGACGACCAGGGCAGCCGCTCCGCCCGTCTCGCCAGCAGCCAGCAGCCTGCATCTTCTGGAATGTTCTGGCCACAGTGGGCCTGGCGAGCGTTGGCTCGTTCCCACGGAGGACCCAGAGGTGGTCATGGCTGCTGGGAAGGTTGGGGGTCAGCCAGGCCCACCACCGCCTCCTGGGTGCAGTGGCCCCGTGGTGACACCCTGGCCCTGCAGGGACCGTCAGTGCCCAGGTCCCAGGGAGAAGCCCCCCCACAGGGAGCCCACCAGACAGCCACTGGGCTGTGGCCACCCAGCACTGTGCTGCACTGGGGACAGGGGGAGACGAAGGCACAGTGCTGGACTCTCGGGTTGTGGCAGAGTAGCCGGTGGTCAGGACCACGGGAGCCCCCGTGGCCTCAGCCCAGTGCGTCCCCGTCCCCTCTGCAGATCGCGGTGACGTTCGCCATCGTCCTGGGCGTCATCATCTACAGAATCTCCACGGCTGCGGCCCTGGCCATGAACTCCTCCCCCTCCGTGCGCTCCAACATCCGGGTCACCGTCACAGCCACTGCGGTCATCATCAACCTGGTGGTCATCATCCTGCTGGACGAGGTCTATGGCTGCATAGCCAGGTGGCTGACCACCATCGGTGAGGCCCACACCCGGCTTGTGCCTGCAGCGTGGCCCGGGCCAACCCCTGGGCCTCTGCTCCGCCCCGTGCCCGGCCACCAGTCTGGAGCAGGGCTGAGCGCTGGCCCGGTGGTGCCTGCGGCCAGGTCAGCACGGCACTGTCCGTCTCTCCCAGAGGTCCCCAAGACGGAGAAGAGCTTCGAGGAGAGGCTGACCTTCAAGGCTTTCCTGCTCAAGTTCGTCAACTCCTACACACCCATCTTCTACGTGGCCTTCTTCAAGGGCCGGTAGGGACCTCCGCCTGCGCGTGGGAGGCCGCTGGGGCCAGCACATCGGGCAGTGTGGCCCCCGTGGCCACGCATCCAGGAAAGGGCCACCTCGAGCTGGGCAGCAGAGCAGCAGGGACCCAGGCAGGGAGGTCCTCCCGCAGTGGGGACCCAGGCAGCGGGGACCCCAGGCAGCGGGACCCCAGGCAGCGGGGACCCAGGCAGCGGGGACCCTGGCAGCAGGCCCTGGCAGCGCGGTCACCCCTGGGGCCCTCCCCAGCAGGAGGCCCCGCTCTCAGAGCTCCCTGTTGCCCCAGGTTCGTGGGACGCCCGGGCGACTACGTGTACATCTTCCGCTCCTTCCGAATGGAAGAGGTGAGTGGGACTGTCCCAGCACCCTCGCGGTGCCACCCCTGTGTGGGCTGGGGGACCAGGTGACGCGGGTCTGTCCAGCTGTGGGGACGGTCCCTTTCCACCTGGCTGGTGGCTTTGATCTTGGGTAGTGTGTTGGCACCGAGTGACCCTAAAAGGAGAAACAGCGCTAAAGAGCGCCAACCCCGTTGGGGTTCCCGTTGGCCGCGGGCTCTTTGGCTCTTTGGTGAAGCTCTGGACGTTTCTGTCTCTGGCTAAAATGAGGAGAAACAGGCCTTGGCTCGTGTTCCCACCTTTACCCCAGACGCAGTGCCGGCCACCAGCTCTGGCGCCAGCCACCGCTGAGTCATGGCCTATGGACTTGCTCCACTGTGTCCCCGGCCAGTGGCTCCGTCGGGCCAAGCCGGGCTGTCAGGGGTCAGATCTCAGGGTAACTGGCCCACATTCCCAGCTACAGAAGAACGCAGCTCGGCGAGAAAACAAGGGAGCGGGGCTTCCCAATAGAGACGCTGGGAAGCAGGGTGTGAGTGGGTGGACGTCAGGTGCAGGCTGATCTGGCTGTCTGGGTGCAGCCTGGAGGTCCTGCAGCCCAGGTGCAAGCCTGGGCACCCAGGGGCGGCCTAGCAGTCATGGGTATTTGCAAACAGTCTGTACGAGCCGCGCACCTTGGGCATGGCGTTTTCTCTGTGTCCGTGGTACTTTATCAAGGGCCACGTGAGAGAAGTGGGGAGATGTGTTCCTACCGGAGAACCAAGTTTTGCAGGATGTGCTTCACAGAATTCAAGGTCATCCAGGACACGGCTTTTGCTAATTAGATAAAAAGTTTTGCCCCAGGAGCCTGCGGAGGCATGGCCGCTGAGGGGAGTGGCACTAGGCCTCAGCAGGTGACTAGCCGCCTTACCGGGTGGCTTTCCAGCCACCTGGGCCCAGCCTGTGCTGCTGCATGGCCTGTGGAGAGCTTGTGTTGGGGACTGGGCAGTGGCCCTGGGGGACGGAGGACCCTGGGTCCCAGCCCCCCGGGCCTTGGCAACATGAGCCCCTGTCCAGCTTTCTCCCAGCCCCACGGCCTGCCTAGAGGGCAGCAGAGTGCCCCAGACGGGGCGGCCTGAGACACCGAGCTGTGCTGCCCGCTGTTCTGGAAGCCAAAGTCCCCGAGTAAGGCGTGGGCAGGCCGTGCTCCCTCTGAAGCGCGGGGAGGACCTGCTATCCTCCCTCCGGCGCCTGGGCTGCAGGAAGCCTGGGTGGTCTCTACGCCACGCCCCAGGGTGTGCCTCCCTCCCCTGGTTCTCCTCCCGGGGGACACCAGTCGCAGGATGGGGCCCAGCCCGCCCCAGGACGGCCTTGTCTTCGTCTGACCCTTTTCCACTGGGGGACCTGCTCAGTCTCGCGGCACCGAGAGGCGCACGTGCCCCTGTGGAGGGCTCGGGTCCACCGTGGTGCGGAGCGCCTCCTTCCCTGCGGGGCGGCCTGCTGCATCTGGGGCTGACCTGGCCTGTCCTGCAGTGTGCCCCCGGAGGCTGCCTCATGGAGCTGTGTATCCAGCTCAGCATCATCATGCTGGGGAAGCAGCTCATCCAGAACAACCTCTTCGAGATCGGCATCCCGTGAGTCCCCGGGGCAGAGCCGCAAGGGCTCTCGTGGTGCCCAGACTGGGGCCGGGACGGGGGCACCAGAGCAGGAGGGTGGCCAGGGAGAGGGAGGAGGACAGGTGACCCTGCAGACTGTCCCCCAAACCTCAGTGCGGGCTCCCCAGGTGCCCCAGGACTTCCCAGAGGCAGCCAGCCCTCTGGAGGGGGACCTTGGGCTTCTCTCCCCCACCAGTGTCCACGTGGGCACCGCCAAACTCTGCCATGCTCATGTCCCTGCCACCTGCTGGGCCCTCCCCTGGCCTTCGGTGGCCCTTGGCTCTCCTGCCCCTCGGCTCCCCATGAGGCCACCCAGCCGTGTGCCCCAGGGGTGGGTGCAGGGCAGCGCCGGCAGTGCCACCATCACCCTCTCCCATAAGTGAGGTCCAGGCTTAGAGCAGAGAGCGGGCCGGAGCCCGGGGCCAGAGCCCGCCCACCGCCCACCGCCCCGTCTCCCCAGGAAGATGAAGAAGTTCATCCGCTACCTGAAGCTGAGGCGGCAGAGCACGGCGGCCCCCGAGGAGCTGGTGAAGAGGCGGCAGCGCTACGAGGTGGACTACAACCTGGAGCCCTTCGCGGGCCTCACCCCCGAGTACATGGAGATGAGTGAGTGGGGGCTGGGGTGGCCCCGCCGTCCCCTCCCTGCACCTCGTCCTCTAGCAGGGGCCCCGCCTTCTGAAGGCCGGGCCAGGCGGCTGCAGTGCCCAGGCGAGGTCCCATGGGCACAGCCTCACGCAGAGGCCGGGCGGCGGTTCCTTCTCCCCGCCAGGCAGACACCCGGGCGGAGCCCATTCAGCCCCGTCACGTCCCTGGCAGGATGAGAGAGGTGGCAGTTCACTCTCTGGAGGCTCAAAGGAGAGATGGGAAGAGGCCAGATGTGGCCTGCGTGGCCCCTGGAGCCTCCTGGCCCCACGTCCTCCCTTCACTCTGGCCACACTGGCCTCCTTGTTCCCCAGACACCTAGCCAAGCCTGCCACGGGGCCCTGGCACCCGCTGTACCCTGGCTGGAGTGCCTCAGCCTGATGTCCTGGCCCTTCCTCGGAGACTGTGTCCAGAATGTTCCCCAAAGGGATCTTCCCTGACCATGGTTAAAGGGGGCAGGACCCACCCACCAGCACAGGCAGGACCCCCCACACCTTTGCAGATCCCCAGCAGATGACTGAATCCCTCCTCCCTCCTGCTCTGTCTGCCTCCCGTGGGACGGAAGCCCCCTGAGGGCAGGACCTTCTCTTTACTGCTCACCACTCCTGGCCCGGCCTTGGGACAGGCTCCAGTATACAGCAGGGGCTCAATGCACGGTTTCTGAATGAACCGATGAGTACAGGCAGTCAGGAAGACTCACCTAGGGAGTCCCGGAGGGCAGTGCCTGAGGCCGGAGGTGGCCGGTTCCCAGGCCGTGGGTGCTGGCCATGGGGCTGTCCAGGACCCCGCAGTGTACACAGTGCCCAGGGAGCGTGGCAGAGTGGGGACGAGCCCCAGGTGCACGGGGACTGTCCCACGGCCTCAGCTGGGAGGCTGCAGGGAACCTGGGCTGTTCCTCCACCCCAGTGCCTCCTCCGTGCTCCTCCTGCTGGCTACGAGGCTCCCCAGGCCGCCAGCTGCCCCGCGGCTGCACAGAAGGCGCCTGGCCCCGACTCCGGAGGCGGGTCTGGGGGCTGCTGCGAGGCCCTCTCCCTTCTGCTGGAGGGAGATAAGCCGCCTGGCTGCTCCTTTCCCAGCGGCTGGGCCCGCGTGGGCCTCTGTGGGCCTTGGCCAGCAGATCTGGGCGCAAGGCCACCCTGCCTACAGGGTCAGGCCTGGGCTTCTGCGGGGACCTGGGCCACCAGAGTTCGAGAAGCGCAGCCTGGGACAGGCCGAGATCGGGGCATGTTGCCTTTCCCTGGCGGCTGGGGGCCTGGGCACCAGGGTGGCCGCCCACACCCAACCAGACCACTGCTGTGCCCCTTGCTTCTCCGCATCCCATCAGCCACCACCTGGTCCTCGAGGGGAGACTAGGCTGGGCCCCGGGGCAGGCAGAGGCCTCACCGCCCCTTCACCCTTCCTCTTCCCATTAATGCCGAGGAGGCCGTGTTGTCAGGAGTGACCACAGCCCCCGGCCCACGTGCAAGGCCCGCGTGCAAGGCCCAGGTTACGCGGTTATCTGGTGCCCATCACCTCCTGGGCAGGGGCGTCCCACGCAGCCCACCCCTCAGCGTGAGCTGAGGTCACCAGGACTGCCCAGGGACCGGGCTCCCAGGTATCCCCTGCCCCGCCCACCCAGTGCTCACAATGCCCGCACTCGGCCGGCCGGGCACACGGTGACACCTGCGGGCTTCCTTGTTTACCGCCTGGCACAGAGAGCCTTAGGCCAGGTCCTGCCGGGCAGTGCCTGACCTCTCCCTACTGGGTCCCCTGCAGCAGCCCTCCCCGGCCTTCCCGGGAGCTCAGCCCCCGGCTCCTATACCAAGGCCACGGGAGCCCAGAGCCAGCGCCCAGCGGGCGACCAGCACCGAGGCCGGGAGGCGGAGGCGGAGGCTGGCAGGGAGAAGGGGGCCACCCTGCGCCTGAGGCCCGGGCAGGGGTCACTTGGGCTCTGAGGACAGCGGTGGGGGCAGCCTCCCGACGCAGGGAACCACTGCTGGCGTCCTCCCCAGCTCAGGCACAGTGGACCTGCGGGGCTTTGTCCCGCGAGTGACCAGTGCCCACCTCCTGGGCTAGCCCTGGGCCACACTTCCATCATCCAGTGTCCAGCATGGAGGTTAGAGCAGCACGTGGACCTCAGTCCCCTCTGGTCTGGGGGTCCCTGGGGTCATGTGGTTCTGTCACAAGACCCCTCCAGGCAGCTGCAGTGGCCGGGGCAGGAGGTTCCTGGGAGTAATGGACTGGCACAGTGGGTCCGGCCACCCTGCTCCGCGTGCTGATGGCCCTGGCCCTCTCCAGTCATCCAGTTCGGCTTTGTCACCCTGTTTGTGGCATCCTTCCCGCTGGCCCCACTGTTTGCCCTGCTGAACAACATCATTGAGATCCGGCTGGACGCCAAGAAGTTCATCACCGAGCTCCGGAGACCAGTGGCCGTCAGAGCCAAGGACATAGGTGAGTGGCTGCAGGACGGGCGGGGGTCCTGGGCAGGGTGGTGGCCCTCAGAGCCAAGGACATAGGTGAGCGGCTGCGGAACGGGCCAGGGTCCTGGGCAGGGCGGTGGCCTGGGAGCTGGAGGCTCCTCACAGCTCCATCCTCCACTGTCACCTAAGATGCTTGGCCTCCGGGGCACTGTCACCCACCTGGGAACCACGCCCGTCCCTGCGTGACCCTCCACACAGGTCAAGGTCAAGTTTGCGGCTGGGGAGGCCCGTGTCAGGTCCCCACAAAGAATGGCCACGGGGGCCGGGTCAGGGGTGGTGAGTGCCCATCCTCAGAGAGACGGGATGTCAGAGGGGGCAGGGACGGGTCAGGGGAGCCAGTCCGCGGGCTGCAGACCCGGCCCCAGCCGCACCGCCACTCACCAGCACCTGACCCTGCGGTGAGACGGGTCCTCCCCTGGGCACACAGGTGCCCAAACCGTCTCTCCTTTGACAAACTCACGGAGAAGAGCGTCGCTAAGTCCTGAGACAAGCAGGGTGGAGTTCCTGGGGGACGTTATTTCTAATGTTGCCAAAATAAAGCGGGCACAGCGGTGACAGCCTGTGGGTGGGCGCCTGTCACCCAACACACCCTTGTGGAACCGCGGAGGGGCCCTCCAGCCCTGGACGTCAGGCTCCTTCTCCATGGAGGACCCTCAGGTGGCGCTCTGCTCGGGGTCCTGTCCTGCAGTGGGTGGACAGCCCCTTGGTCCACACTTGGCCTCTGGTGACGTGGCCACCCCCTGGGGTGGCCAACTCCCAGCAGTGGTGACCTGATCCGTGGGTCCCCGCCTCCTGACTCCAGGATAACATGGTCACTGCATCTCAGAAGGAACCGGCCACATGTTCAGTTCCCACACCCTCAGCTCGGCCATTGCTCCCGGGTCACCTGCAGCCCCCGTTAGTGCTGTGGGGTCTGTGCGAGACTTGGACCCCTGTAGGACAGGAGATCAGCCAGGGGCACCCCTCGGAGCCCGGACACTGCGGCGTCCTCGTGCCACCTCGTCCGGATGGCGGGGACTCGGCAGACCGCCCCTCATGCTGACCGCCCGAGACTGTGTCTACCTCAAGCCCCAGCGCCCCTGATTCTGTTCCCCGTCAAAGGCCAGAAAGCGAACGTCCTAAACTTTGTGGTCCAAAAAGGCGACAGCCGCCTCAAGTCTTGGAGGCTCTGTTCCCCACGACGTCCCTTCCCGGGGCCCATGGGAAATGGCTGGACTTGGCCACAGGTGGCGCCCGTCAGGAGCGCGGTAGGCTTGTCCCCGGGGGTCCTCCCCGGGAACCTCGGGAGGAAGCCTGAGCACATCCTGCCTGTCCCCACCCGGGGACACGAGACCCAGAGGGTGACAGAGCTTCGCCAGAGAACTGGAGCCACAGCTGGCCTTGGGACCGACCGTCACACCAGAGGCCCAGAGAGGAGCCCTGGGTGCACCCTGGCCGTCCTGGGGACTCTGCAGCTCTGTCCCCGCGAGGAACGCCCTTCTCGGCCACACTCCTCCCAGCGGCGCCCTCCCGCTGCCCGGGGCCCTGGCTGACCCTCGGCGGGCGTGTCTGCTTTGGCATCCCTGGCTTCCAGAGGCTCAGGCTGTCCCCAGACGGTGGCCCTTGAACACGTGGAAACCCAGAGGGTGAAAGAGCACCTGAGACGCCGGCGCCTGCAGCCCCCGGGGTGGGGACATGGGCGCCCAGGGCAGTCGGCTCCTGGTCGCCCCGCGCTCACGGTCCCGGGGGCTCACAGGTGTGCTCTGGCCCTTCGCGGCTCCGCTGGGCTCCGTCGCTGCCACCTGCTGCTCAACAGGTTTTGTTTTCCTCCTGTGATCCGTGCAGGGCCAGCATCCCTGGGGACAGAGGGCCCAGTGGCCCCTGTGACCTGTCCCCCATGCTGCCTGGCTGCCTGGGGGATGCTGTGTCCCAGAGCGGCTTCGTCGCCGGCCTCTGCCGTGGCGAGGGCACAGTGGGTCCTGCGGGGAGCCCACCTGCGGGGGAGTTGGCTGCAGCTCGGCTCCCCGCCGTCCTCAGGGCGCCTGGCACGGGGACAGGGCAGGGCGGTTCCCAGGCACTTCTGTGTCAGGTTCTGGGAAAGGGGGCCTGGAGTCCCCTGGGATGGTTAAAAAAGCCCTTGAAATGGCAGGCAACACGAGGCCGCTCCCCTCGAGGGTCTCCATGAGGGGGGCCCGGGAGGTCTCCCAAAGAAGGCCCCTTCACGGGGACCTCCGAGCCGGGAGTCACCTGCAGCCGGTGTCAGAATGACAGGGGTCAAAGTGCAGCTCCTCCCCCAGGAGAGGCTGGCGGGGTCCCGGCCCACGGTGTGGGGTCCACCCAGGGCAGCCCCTGGCCAGGGCTGCAGACCTGCAGGGCCTGCCTCCACGAGACGCGGGCTCCTCGCTGGCCCGGCCCACCCCGGCCCTCCTGCCCACCGCTTCCTGTTGCCATGTATTTGGGCCTGTTGGGTGACCACCCGGGCTGACCCTCACTTGCCCAGGGACACCCTGAGCTCCGGCGCCACCTCCCAGGGAGCCGAGCCCAGGGTATCACCCCCAGCACCCACCTGAGGTCTCAACAAGGCCCCGGACTCGGAGCCCAGAGGCCTGTGTTCTTCCTGGACCCAGAGCCACAATCCCGTTTATGTCTCTTGAAACTTGGGAGCCCTGAGTGTTGTGTCCCCAGCCTGAGGGGATCTGGTTGGAGTGAACGCTCTTAAAGGGCTGAAGGGGTGCGGGGGTTCCCCAGGTGCAGAGAACAGAGCCGCGGCGCTCATCCCGGCCTGCAGAGGGCGCCACCCTGGGCCACAAGCTGTGGTCATGGGGACACTGGTGCCCGCCACCTGGACCAGGGCTGAGGATCTCTCAGAAGCAGCAAGTCTGCATTTTTAAGCCATGGGGGAGGCTAACGGAGTGGGCATGCAGCTGGACGGTCCCACCAGCCCCTGCTTGGTGGCCCGCTCTGCGCTCTCTGTTGGAAAGGGCTTTCTACGCTCAGGCCACTCAGCAAACGCTGACCTGATGGCGCTGACCTGTGGACTGGACGCAGAGTGAAGTCCAGGAGACGCGGGGCGCACTGTCCACAGCCTACCTGGGCCCCTAAGCGGGCAGGTGCTGCTGTGTTCCCGCCCGTGACCAAGCGTGGTGACATCATGAGGAGGGCCCAGCCCCCATGCCGTCGGGCTCACTGCCCCGTGGCCTCCTGCAGGGTGGGTAGCCTAGTGCCACCCACAGGGCCCATGGCTGCTCCACCTGTGCCACCAGGAAGCTAAACCCAGGGCCGCCCGCCCGCCGTGGGAAGCAGACGGAGCCTTGGCAGGCGTCCCGTCTCCTGTGGGCTGTGGCCCGGCCTGAGGACTGGAGGTGGCGGCAGGGAGTGGGACACTCTGTGCCCAGATTGCTGGCCACGTGTGGGCCTGGAGCGCCCCTGCCCATCACAGAGAGGATTGGGATGGCCCAGCCACTGGCCAGGCTGGGAGGGAGCCATCTCGGCCCCTCACACGGTGACCTGAGCCCATGGGACACTGAGAACCTTGACGCTGAACTGTCTCTGCACACCGCCAGGGTGCACCCCCAAAACAGGAGCTGGGGCTGCCGAGCACGTGGCCCCCTGCAGCCTACGCCTGTCAAAGCCGCCTGCCACGTTCTTGTCACTGGACAGTAATTGCCGGCATGGCCCGCCCAGCCTGTCCAAGAAGGCCTGCTCAGGGGTGTCCAGCGCTGGCCCGGGACATGGACCTGGCCTGCTGGGGTGGAGTCGGCAGGGCACCCTGGGCGGAGGCGCAGTGCCAGGCCCTGAGCGGGGGCCCTTCCTGGCTCACGGGCCTCATCTCCATGGGAGGCAGAGAGCAGGGTGTCCCCCGCCGTGTTCTGTGGTCCATCTGGGACTTGGGGTGACAGAAGCAAGATGGTGTCCAGACGGGGACAGCTCATGCTGCAATGCTGCAGGGCCCTTGGCTATGATCCTCACCCCAAAGCCACCTTAGGCCTGTCCCTGACACCTGCACTGCCCGGGAGCCACAGATCCTGGCCTTGTTGGGTCCTGGCCTCTGGGTTGGCTGGGTGTGGCCCGGGCCCCGAGGGGCCCTGTGACAAGCACGTCTCTCAGAGGCCTCAGTGGCTCAGGGACAGTGGATGGCACCGGCACAGCGTGGCTGGCCGTCACTGGGCTCCTCGGCCTCCCAGACGGTGCCATTGCCACACGCGTCCCTCTGGGTGCCTTGGGGAGCCGGCGCCTGCGTGGCCGCCGGGGCGCTGCCTGCGGGGAGGGGTCTTGAGAGCTGGTTCCTCTTCCCCAGGCATCTGGTACAACATCCTCAGAGGCGTCGGGAAGCTGGCCGTCATCATCAACGTAAGTGACGCTGGGGACCTTGCACACCCAAGTCCTGCCCAGCCGCGGCAGGCCGTGCCCCCCGAGGCTGAGCTGGGCCCCCACCCCCGGCTGCAGCCCTCGGCTCCTGGCACAGGGTAGCTTCTAGGGAGATGTCCCTTGATCTGGGCCTGGGGACTCTGTTTCCTGCAAACTTGCAGGGAGGTCCCCCCCGGCCCACCCTGCCCACCCTGCGCCCCGCACAGACCCGCCCCAGGGTCCTGGGAACAAAGGAACAAGAGGCAGCAGGGAGGGTCAGTGACAGAGACCCAGGACGGAGAGCCAGCAACCTCGCCGCTGCTTTGGGGGGCTGATCACACACATGCGCACGTGCGCACGCGTGCACGCTCACGCACACTATCATGCACGCACACAGTCACACATGTGCACACTCAGTCGCACACGCACATGTGTACACACCTGCGCACACACACGCTCAGGCCTGCTCTTCAAAGGAGGCGGGGGGCGGCTGAGACTGGGGAGGGGAGAAGCCCCTGGGCACCTCCCAGCTGTGGACGAGGGTGCCCCTGGGCCTCCTCCCGGCATGGTGGACCCTCCCTTCCTGGCACACGGCGTGCCCTCCTGGCTTCTCCCGCAGAGCCGGCCTGTGGGTCCCCGCAGTCCTCCCCTTGGCCTCCTGTGGAGGTCGGCCGGACCCTGCCTGTGGACTCCCCTGCCCCAGGTCTAGCTCTGTCCCGCTGGCCAGCACCTGTCCCAGAACCCGAGACTGAATCCCAGGCACATGACCCAGGCAGCCGCTGAGTGTCCACAGCAGAGGCGCCCAGGGCCCCCGTCCTGCACCCTGCAGCCAGTCTGCCCAGCAGCTGACACCTTGTGGGGGCGGGTGCTCCAGGAGCAGGGCCTGGGCCTCCATCCCCACCGGGCGGAGGCACTCTAGCCCCAGAGCCCGGCCTCCCTCCTGCCAGCCGGCTGCTCCCCAGAGGGCGGCTTCGAAGCCTTTGTTGAGGGGAGGTGAGCACAGGGCACACCTGTGGCTCTCTGTCCCACTTGGCGAGTGAGCGCAGGGCCCGAGCCTAGGGCTCACCTCGATGGGGCTGGGACCCTGAGGTGCAGCCCGTGTGCTGGAGGGGGTGCTGTGAGCAGGTGAGGACACTGGACAAGTGTTAGCGTCTACCACTCAGTGGGCTACTAGAACTTTCCAGACCTCTGTTCTCTTTCCCCTGCCGACCCACCAGTGCCCACACAGCCCCTGGAGGTGGGGACTGTTAGGGCCCATCTTAGAGGAAATACAGAGAGGGCAAGTGACTTCCCCAGAGCTACACAGCCTGTCAGAGGCTGCTGGGCTTCGGGTCCTGCTCTTAGATTACCGCGAGAGCAGGCCGTGATGGACTGAGCTGGGCAGAGTGGCACCCGGGAGGCGGGGGGCATGCTCAGGGGGTGTCCTCTTTAATAGGAACACAAGAGAGGCACGGAAAGGTTGGGGGATTTGCCACACAGTGGAAGGCAGGCAGCGTGCCCTTCCCTGTGCCCTCCTGCTGCGCCCAGGAGGCTGGCGGGGAGCCGACAGGGCACGCCGACCCTCCTGGGGCCCTGCTCACCCGCTGTTCCCGGGCCAGGCCTTCGTGATCTCCTTCACGTCCGACTTCATCCCGCGCCTGGTGTACCTCTACATGTACAGCCAGAACGGGACCATGCACGGCTTCGTCAACCACACGCTCTCCTTCTTCAACGTCAGCGACTTCCAGAACGGCACAGCCCCCAACGACCCCCTGGACCTGGGCTACGAGGTGCAGATATGCAGGTACCACTCCCAGCGGCTCTCTTTGAAGAGCCAGTTCAGTGGGTTTCTGGGAAACCCAGGTTTGAGCCAGGACTCTTTCAGAAGCAAGTCACAGAACCACTCAAACTTGTTTAAAAAAAACATGCCTGGGGGACATTGGAAGAGGGCAATACACTGGTTAGCTATAATTAAGAGGTCCGTGATAGCTTCAGGTGTGGCTGGATCCAGGAGCTACAGTCTGCCGTTAGGCCCCACACTGGCACAGCCTGCTGGATTTGCTTCCTCTGTGTCAGCGTCAGTTTCTGGCAGGCAGACACCCTCCACCAGCAGCTTCTGCCTTACATCCGTCTGCTCGCAGTCCCCACGGGGAGCCCTTCTCTGTTCCAATAGAAAGCCCTGGTGTGAGTCTTGCAGCCTGTCTTGGGCCACATGCCTGTCCCTGCATAATAGCCCCGGCCAGGGCTCCAGGACTCTCGCTGGCCAGGCCTGCAGAGGGGTCGCAGTCAGGAAACGGGGATCTTCAGGAAACCTGGGGCGCTGTGGCTTGAACAAGGCCCCCGAGGAGGGGCACGGCAAAGCAGGGGCGTCCGGACACCAGGCTGCCGCTCCTGGCCTCCAGGTCAGGTGCTCAGGGAGAGCAGGGGGAGCAGCTCGGGGATGACTGAGGCAGAGCCCAGATGCCCTGCACCAGTGCTGGGGACCTCAGTGCCCGGGGGGGGGGCGGGGGACAGAGGGTCCCAGGGGTAGCTTGGCCCCCCTCCACGTGCCCCTGTCCAGGCAGGGCCCCCGCACTCGGGACCCCCGAGCCGGGTCTGCCAACCAGGGGACCATTTCCAGTTTCAAACACCCGCCCGCGCAGCTGCTTCTGGTGACAGGGGCGGGTAACGCCCCACGGGCTCTGCAGCCACACTGTGCCTGTGGACAGCCTTTCCCAGGATCCTGGGCGGGCTGGGAGCAGGTGCCCAGCACCACGAGGGTGGGAGCCCAAGCCGCGGGGCAGGGGAAAGATCAGATCCCGGGCTCAGCTTCCACAAAACGTCACGCCGTCAGAAAGCTGAGAGCTTTCAAGGGAGCCGTCTTTAGGCAGGCCTGTCTGTAGGCGTCCAGGGGACCTTAGTCACAGGAAAGTCCCAGGATGACTGGCTCCAGCTCGCCACCTGCTGGCCTCCTCCAGAACTGCACCGGGGAGCTGGCAGCCAAGGAGGGCTCTGGGGACCCTGGCACCTGGGTGCAGGAGCTGATTGCAAAGGCTGGCCTCCTGGAGACTGCCAGGGCCACCCTGTCACACGGCACAGCTCCTCTTGTGTCCCCGTTGAGATCCCGTGCCAGCCGACGCTCAACTCAAGTAGAAGCCCACTCTAGGCCCGAGGCCTGGTTCACCCATTTCCGTAAGATCAGGCGGCGAGGCGGGCAGCAAGCCAAGGAGGCCGATTTAAAAGGCCACCAAGCGAGGCTTTTTTAGACTCACTGGATCAGACCACAGAGTGGACAGGAGAGGGTCTGAGATTTTATGGGGCTCACGGCAGGAAGGCGGGGGGCTTGGGAAAGGAAAGAGGATTTTTAGGGTCCCTTGTCCGGCTGGAGTTGGTCCGGGAGCTGCTGAACTCCAGGATTGGCGGGGGGTCCTGCTGATTGACAGGCGCTAGTCAGGAGATCTGGCTGATTGACAGGCGTTCCTGCCGGCGCCTGACTGATGTTTCTTTCCCTCGCGGGCTGCTTTGTTCTAAGTCACCGCCACCCACCTGACAACTTCTACAAACTGCTACGTGGATAAATGTTTGTGAGAAACTAGTAAGGGGGTGTCTAGCACCTGGAGTGCCGATTTCTTCCCGGCCAGCGGCCACGTAGATAGGGCAACAAGAAAATAGGGAGTTTATCCACGTGGAGTCTTGCGACAGTCCTAACCGTGGTGAGGATTTCTGGAGAAGCTTAGCTAAGGTGTCTTTTGGGGGGCCCTACAGACACAGGTCCCCACAGGCTCGGGGCATCTCCAGGTCTCTGTAGAAGAGTTGGGACAGTGGTAAGGCCTCGGGGGACCTGTGTGGGGGCCTGCTCTCCCTGTGGGACACCCAGGGGCACTGTCTTAACCCGACCAGGTGGAGGGGGACACGTGTGACTCAGAGCTGCTGAGGGATGTGTCCCCTGTTGGGGTGCTGGGTCGAACCCTCACTCCCTTGGCCTCAGAGGAGAAGTGGTTTCCAAACCGGGTTCCGTGGACACCTCCTGGAGTTTGGTGGAGGCCAAGGGTGGACTTGAGGGCAGGCCACCCCACTCCCCCGTGGGGCCCTGAGGTTTCAGGAGAGATCACTTTTTTAAAAAGGCTCTACTGTTCCCAAGTCTGGAAACTTCTGAAGCAGAGGGACACGGAGCTCACCTCTGGAGGCCACAGCAGGGCCCACAGGGGCACACCCTGCAGCAGGCACAGGCGCCCCACCTTCCCTCCCGAGCTGCCCGGAGCCCGCGCCACGCCTAAGAGCTGCCTCCCCCGACAGGTACAAGGACTACCGCGAGCCCCCGTGGTCGGAGCACAAGTACGACGTCTCCAAGGACTTCTGGGCCGTCCTGGCAGCCCGGCTGGCCTTCGTCATCGTCTTCCAGGTGTGTGGCCCTGTCCCCTGGAGGGTTGGAGAGGGCCCGGTGCCCACGGTCAATGCTGGGCTCTGGGACGCCCGAGAGGGACGCCCGGCCAGCCTCGGCACTCGCAGCCCCCCTGAGGGAACCGGGAGGGACGTGCGCCTGCAGGGCTCTGGGCCCCTCTGGGAGGGTGGGTGGTCCTGAGAGCCTGCAGGAAGGGGAGGCCGCACCCGTCCTGCCTTGGTCTCACAGTTCAGCACAGTGGCCAGGAGACCAAGGGCTCTCATGACCCTACCCCCAGCAGTAAAGGGACCTGGCCCCTCCAGCCAGTCTCTGGGGAGGGGGACAGAGATGACCCCTGAGGCCAGAGGGCTGTGGAGCAGGCCCCAGACCGGGAGCAGCCAGAGGACTGGCAGCTAAGGTGGCACGGACGCCCCGAGACACGTGGGCACCTCCGAGACTCTAGCCACCTGCGTCCTGGTGGGAGGATGGTCCGGCCAGGAAGGTGGTGGCCCAGAGCCCAGAAACAGGAAGCTCCAGACCTGGGTTCTGCCAGCCCTGACCTCCACCTGCCCCAGGGTGGGCAGTCCCTGCCCTCCACCTGCCCCAGGGTGGGCAGTCCCTGCCCTCCACCTGCCCCAGGGTGGGCACTCCCTGCCCTCCACCTGCCCCAGGGTGGGCAGTCCCTGCCCTCCACCTGCCCCAGGGTGGGCAGTCCCTGCCCTCCACC